ACTAAACCAGCATGTGTAGACTTTTGACAAAAAAAAAGGGTATTATTTAGAATTTTAGATACAACTGTGATATTCTATAGTGTAAAGAATTTTTGTACATTTGAATATATAACACAAGTAGATTGTGTGCTGTCCATTTATTGTTTGAATTTATCACCAACAAGTTACAGACACCAACTGTAAAAGAATGGCAGCCCACGTACAAAACCCTGACATTCAACAGTTGCTCTGGAATAAGTTTTAAAAGTGAAATATTAATCAATTAAAGATATCTTTGACAGAGTCAGAAACTGTTTAATTAAATTAAACACATTCATTTTGACGATATTTTTGGAAAGCAAGAAATCTAAATACAAATTAGTGGTTGATTTTTTTTCAAAGAATGTTATTAAAAATAAATTAAACTACCAATATATAAGATTTCAAAATGTATTAACTCTGGTAACTGTACGAATAACAACAAAGTCAGGCACCTCAAGTTAAACCCTCATTTCACAAGAAGATCCAGTAAGAAATGGATTTAGTATAACAAATATCAATTTAGTATTCACTTGTTAAAAACTATGTAGAAAAGAGTAACAATTCAGGAGAATTCCCAAGAAAGTATATGTTTAAAAATACGATTAGAAAGTTTGTGAAGTAAGGTCACTGTTTCTTTCAGCTTGAGAAGAAAAATCTAATATTAAATATGTTAGTCAACACTGAGCAACAAATAAAAACAGTAATCTTTTCGATGTCTTACTCATAGAATGTTCAACAGTGTAGTAATCTGATTTTTTAGAAAATTATCATGGAAAACAGGAGGATATTGAAGTAAGTAAACAAAAGTGACACAACACCAAAAATTAAAACTTACATATTACCTCTGAGCTGACTTGATTTTGAAATACCATGCGTCTTGGCTCTGTGAAGGAAAAGACCCCATGCTCCATCAAAGTTCTGGCCACATATGTTACACATTTCTTTAGCTGATTTTTCTGGGATTTTAGATGGCCTTGTGCCAATTCCTGTGTTTAGATAAATAAAATAATATACTTTTCTTTTTGAATTTATAAACTCTTAAGTACTGAACTTAAATAGAGCAAAAGTTTTCTAAAAAAAGAGGCAAAGATACTGTTACAAGTTTTTAATCAATTAGTACCTTTATGTGCACATCAGTATTCATCAATAAAATGGTTACTAAAACTACTACAGACAGGTATATTTATTATAAAGGTACCATAAAACTTACTTCAAACAAATATACTTTGTTTTTTTGCACTGATGGCTGCTGCTACATCTAAGAGTTAACTAGAAGTAACGAAAACAATTTACAAAGTAACAAAGGACTTGAGAAGGTGACTTAATTATATGATGCATTAAGTGATGTCGCATAAATCTGGGTGACCATATATTCTCACATGAGGAATGTTATCCCCAGGGAAAACGTCCTCTGTTAAAAAAAACATTGCTCCTGAAACATCCTTACATTAAATTTTTTATATCTTCATGAAGTTTGGAACAGAAATACTTTTGAAATGAATATTCAGTCAGTTTTTATCACCACTATTATTAGCTTAGTTATAACATTGTCATGTGAAGACTGAGAAAGAAGAATAAAATCTCAAAACAGATACATTCATATGAGAAACACAACTGGTACAAATATAGGAAGCAAACTTCTTCAGTACTGTGTGCATCTGAATTTATAGTGAGCACAGATCCAAAGTTATAAACAAGCATTATCAGGTTTGGCTTAACATAACACCCATTTCATTGTCATAAATGTCTTTTTTAACATATCTTTAACCTTCCTCTAGCTGCTAGGATTTAGTAACTATTGATATAGTGTCAAGATTTTGAAAAGTCAAATATAAAAGTTTGGTTTGTTTCAAATTTTGTGCAAAGGTACACGAGAGCTATCTGCACTAGACATACCCAATTTAGAAGTGAAAGACTAGAGGAAAGACAGCTGGTCATCACCACCCACCACCAACTCTTGGGATACTCTTTTACCAACAAATAGTGGGATTGACCATTACTTGTTAAAAATTTCTGCCTGCTCAGTTAAAACTTGTTACTATATGAAACAGCTTCAAACCTGTGGTTTTTGTATATATTCGTTGCTTATTTCTAATACAAACAGTTTGAAAACAAATTTTTGAAGTTGTTGGTGTCAAAAACTGTAAAGTCAAACAAGCTAGAATTTTTTTTTTTGTTTTAAAATTTTAAAAACTCTAAAGCTAATAAATCTATAAATATATCATCCAAAAGTTCAATACGTAGTTAAAAACTAAAAATAATATTTACTGGGCTTAAATTGCTCAAATTATTAAACTTTTTGTACTCTTGTTAGCATCCCTTAGTGGAAGTAATGTAAAAACAGCTTTAATTGTCTCTGAATATTTGAAATACCATACCTGGTACAAAACTGAAAAACTACAGCATTATGATTTTATGTTGTCAGTAGAAATTTTAACAATAGACAAGTGACTAAAACTCGAGTCAAAAACATTATCTTTAAAAAAAATGTAAGCTAAAAGAATATTAAATACAGTGTACATTACCATGCTCTGTTATCTTGTGAACCACAAGGGCTCTAAGATTATCTGAAGTTTTGTTGCAAATATCACAAATTCTAGTTTGATTTCCACCTTCTAAATGAAAAGAAAGTAGTCAGAAAAAAATTTTAGGTTAACAAACTTTTCACGAAAAGTTAAACATCAGGGCATGATAACATGGAATTGACAAACGATTATTTTTCTGCAAATATAGTGAAAAGACATTTATCACAAACTTTTGGTTACAAACTCCATGAACAGAGTAAAAGATTGTATTATATTACAAGTTACAGCTTTTACGGCAAGTAACATTTGTATTTAGAACAGGTATGATGTTTTAATCACTGGTGTGATCATTCTCTTGAGTAAAAAAAAGAGTAAAAGATTGCAAAAGTTTCTTTTGTCTAACTCCATTACACTTAAGCATTTAAATCTGATTATAACTAGTTAGAAATAGTCTTTTTTTCGCATTGAAGAAACATAAAAGTTTTTAACTAGTTTTTACTTCTGTATTACTAAATAAAATATCCCCAAAAGTGAGATACAGGATTTTCCACTAGAATGTGAAGGATTTTAAAAAATTTTGCTTTCTTTATTATGCCTTAGGGTACCTTTGTTAAGTAGTCCATTGGAAAAGGGGTTGTAATCCCCACAACTCCCACCCCTGTAATTGTACATTTCTCTTTGTGTTAATGACAGTTAAAATGTTTATCTAATTTCTTACACTAACGATTATCCCAAACTATCATGCAGGTTTTCCTATGAACCCATGACTGAAAGCAAAGGTGAAAATGTTATGTCAACTACACTACATTTGCTATATCCAGTGCCAATGAGGCCTTTTGCCTAATAATAGGGATCATGAGACTGGCTGAAAGGAGGATGACATTGTTACAGTTTGAACCAAATTCATTGAGTCAATTGTAATTATTATCAGTTGTATTTGAGGCATTTACAACTCAGGTTTTTAGGTTAAGAATTAATAACCCAACATTATTTATTTTATTGCAAATTTAACACTGATTATTTATTTATTTGTTATCATTTTACATGTAATTAAGATATATTCACACACACCCCCCTCACTTTAATGAACATTAATTAATTTCAATTCAGGAGCAAGATGAAAAACCTGTCATGACTCAAAGTGTTCCAGATTTAGTGGGCCAAGATACAACTCTAATCTCCTCCCCCCCAGGAAAAGTAAAACTTGGCACTTATATTCAGTAAAGTAATACTTTTTTAAAAATTATCTAAAAGAAAAAAACATTAAAACACAAAATGTAAATATTTTCATCATCGTACCATTTATGTTATCGTTTTGGTTATTGACTGTTTTTTTCACAAGTTCTCTACTATTATTCTCATGTTCAGGAGACACTTTACTCCGGCAGTAGAAGATATGGATTTTAGCACCACGAACTGAGCTAAATTCACTCTTTCCACAAAATGGACACCGATCTGTGGTAGTTTTAGATCCTTTTGATTGTTGGTGTAGAACTGCAATGTAACAAAAAGCTAATTATTTATTTTGGACCAACTGGTTCAATTTTTAAAATACTATGTTACAGTGTGAAATCAGAAATTACAACTAGACACAAGTACCTCACATAGGAGGATACGGTTATTTCTTAAACGTTTATCTTGTAATAATAAGTACATAACAAGCAACTGTATGGCTATTTAGAACATACTGTTACGTCTCTGGTCGTTTGTTAATTTCCAGTAAAAAATTCTTTCCGAAGAACTTAAGCGATACAAGTCCTTTCTTAAATAGAACTAGTTTATTCCTTCTCAATACAACTTTGCAATACACTTAATTTCCACAGTCACTTTAACTTAAACACATGCTATAATTCACAACGATTCACGCACTTTACTTACGGTCACTACCGCTCACTTGACTCAATTATCCGTCTCTATATATCTCTATCTGCAATTATATATGCCGTCACTCTTCCTCTCCGCTTTATTTGCCGGGCTTATATACTAAAATAGAGGGCGCATAGAAAAGACTAGAGTTGCCACGAACAGTCATGATCCTTCTAGAATCTCATGACATGTTACTAGCATCATCTGACTTCTACTGTTGTAACAATACTTATCACACAACTATTTATAAATACACCACATACAACAGCACAGTAATTTAGAACATATCTATCTCTCAATGTTTAGTCCATTATAAGAGAATATACAGCTACTCCGATCATGGCTATTACATTATTATTAGTCCATCACAAGGGAGTGTATGGCTACTTGGATCATGTTTGATGCATTATGATTACCTTCAATTAGTGGGATATAATCTACAGAGTACTTTCTCAATCAATAATTTAATTCTAATTACATCATAAGACAATCTTCAATTTTATTTTGGAACACACAAGTATTTTTGTCTTAAGAATAATCAAAAAACAAAAAAGATATCTGGGTCCAATTTGTTTTTATATCAGAATACCAATATTTCAAAAACAATGCTTTTAAGAAAGAAGTGATTTGAAGAGGATGAAATCACTAACCAGAAAGGCACTAAGGCAGTGCAACCCCAAACCTGCAATGCTTTTTCACTATTGAAGTAAACAACCTGAAATATACAGCAATCAATTCTTCCCCCTCAAAAATGTAGACCTAGGCATCCTCTTTTTGAATTTTGATCGTTTTTCAAATTAGCTACCATTATAACAAAACAAGTTGACCTTCAGTATGACTTTGACCTTTCAGCTACATTCACCAAAAGTTAATCAGCTGGTCCTTGGAGAACACTCAACCTTTGTGTTCTAAATACAATCAATCTTAGATGAAAATGTTTTTTTACTATTCTTTTATGCTATGGTAGGTTTCAATAAAGCTTACATATAAATATGAAAACCAAAATTAGTTATTTTAACACTACTAGAAAGAAAAATTTAAACTTTTGGAGGACAAATTTATAAGTGAAATTACTTCTTTAACAATGATTACCTACACAGGTAAACTAAGCAGGTATATTAAAGCCTGATAACACTATAAGATAACTAAAATTAGAGTTAATTTTTGTTGTTGTCTTTTTGTTACTATTGCCGTACTCAATACACTACTCAGTATTAAACACTTATTAAATTAATAATTATTCATTCAATTCTAATGACTACGTAGTGTATATATAAAATATTAAGAAATAAGTTAATTTGGTTACTTTCATTTAAGAAATAAAAACTTTTTCAAAATCCTAATACATAAATGATTTATTTTGACAAGCTAATGAGCATAAATTTTTTGTTTGTTTTGCATTTATAAATTCTGCTTGTTGTTTCTAAAAATCCAACAATAAGAATCAATAAGCAGCAAAATTGGCGAGAACCCAAAAAAATTAAGGGTTTTAAGAATCATGGGGACAACACAAATATAGGTAGCACAATTTATGTACGTGGGTACTTTGTAAATTCTAATTATTCTTTATTGTCATCAACCTTATCACCAAACATCCCAGAGCTTTTCTAGATATGTCTACATACCCCTGAAAAAAGTTTGATCTGATTACTTAGTTCTTTAACAGCATTTTTACTGAATTCCAACCTAGGTTTTGGATGAGCTTTTTACCATAAAGAAACTAAATGAAGAAAAAATGATAAACCAGTACTTTTCCAACATACCATTTGACTTTTTGTTACCTATTCTGGTACTCATGGATTCTACACTGTCTTTTAACACATAGCTTTTTTTTTTATACTGGTCAATTGATTTTTCTTTTTGCAGGTGAACATATGGATGTTAACAGCACGTTCGGTTAGAAAGTCCCTCTTTCCACAAAAAGAACACTGATGTGAGGGTTTCTCTTGCGTTTCACTTTCTGTACCTTGAAGTCAACACAACATCCAATATTTAGACCATCTCAATTTTCAAATGATAAGATATACTGAAAAATAATTATCAAAAATAATAAATATTGTAACTAATTAATGTAGAACATACAATAGTCTTTACAGAGGCATCAAAACTGAGTGTGCTGTAGCACCCCTACTTTTACATATTTTACTTATATAGCAACTGTAAATCACATGATAGTATAAATTTTGTGGGAGGTTTGCCCCTAGACCCCCCTAGATTGAGCTACTTTTGGAAGCACGGTAGCTGCTTTTAGCAGCTCCTTATACTTTCAATGTCTTAATATAATTATGCATGTCTAACGAAGGACCCACACTTTGAAACTCCTTCCTACACCACTGATTTACCATTTTCAAAGTAGTCTATGTTTTCTAATATAAGCATATTGATGTGTTACAGCCACCATGAATTGTATTTCAATTAGTTGTTCTAAGTAAATGAGAAAGAACCTAAAGAAAAATTGATTTTTCCCCAAGTATGAAACCTTTGTTTTGAATTAAAATCATCTGTAATAAAAAAACTCACTTTTGTTTTCTTTAATATGGAATCTTGGTGAAATAAATGAAGTGAAAATTATAGTTTCTTTGTGACACGTAATGGCATATTGAGTGATTCCATTAAAAACATCTGTACACCATACCACTTGCGCTTATTTGTGGCAGCATTCTGGTTGATGTGGTCACCGAGTTTCCACTGTTTACTGTGGTATAGTTGTTGTTCCAGGTAGAAGATAAATTTTCCTTTCTACAGGAAGACATGTGGATGTTGGCTGCAAGTGCTGAACTAAAGCCCTTCTGTCCACAAAAAAAAACACTCGCAGGAGACGTCCATCAAGTCTGATTCTAAATTTGCAAATACAACTTTGTTACATTATAGCCTCAAGGCTCCTCAAAGATTTACTAAAAAATACATGATACGTGACAAAGTTTTGGCTATCAATAAAATACTACCTCATCATCTTTTATTTTAAAGTCAGAAAATATACAGTCAACTGCAAAGAATCAAATTTTAAAATCTACCAGAAAGTTAAAATTCAAGCCTGACCCTCACAATGGATACCACTTTCCCTCCACAATATGAAACTCAAACACACAAGAACTAAACAGCACATACTACAATAACACTGAACTAACACGACTAGTTTTACATACCTTTTGGACTAGAGAACTACCCTTACCAACTCAGCTTTTTAAAGCCCTGACTAATTTACTTGCACTTATGCAACACATTGTGATTACAGTGCCATTCATTTGGAGGACTAGCCACCAAATATTAAATGTAACAATATCACACATCATTACGGTTCTACTAAAATAGAACTTACACGTTAATGCAGTTGAAATACACATTATTATTCCTGCAAATATCAGTTCGGTATAACTACAGGGTATTAAATAACTATTTACACTTCATGAAACATTTAAGTTAAAGTAGTTACAACTCTTTTTTAACATAGTATATCTCATCCATATTTTCACCAAAGTTTACCTTCAGAGGAATTTTTACTTGCCAATTCATGGTTGGTATCTATCCAAATTATCTTTATTTTTCAAGGTAATTTGTTTGGTGAATATTACCTTTGAGAAAAACATATTAACCAAGTAAAATTAATATAAAACATCTAATTTTCACATAACTTATTTTCACATCATTTACACGCTGATATAATACATACATTAAATAACAACATATCAATGAAAATATTATTTCTACTCATACCAACATCTACAGGATTCAAACTTGTCTGTAAATCTAGATCCATCCTTTCTGGACTGTCCTTCTGGATTAAAAAAATAACACTAAATAAGTATATACACACAGAATGAGAAAGGTTTACAACACTTCTAGCAACCAAATAGTCTTAGAAAACTCAAGAGTTCTCTAATGAGTTCTATGGTAATAATAGTAATTAATAAGTAGGGTTAGTTACCCAATACAGATATAAAACAGCAAAATTCAAACTACTACTCAAGACTAATAACACTGCAGATAGGAGTATGAAAAATTATGTTTCCCCAAAATAGTGGTTGGATAGGTTGTTCTCTCTTCCTCATAATAAAAGTCAATGGATGGCATAAACCTATGTTCTTTCTTGGGTCTGACACTGTTTATAAGTGAATACAGCAAGTTTTTTTTTTCATAATTTTTTGAATTGTTAAAACTTAGCCTGGTTTACCAAGTTCAAAGATCAAAATTACATTGAAATTGAACAGGAATACAAACACTTGCATTAATTTCTTGGAAGAATAAATCAATATTAATGTGCAGACAAGTATGTAATTGTAATAAACATATAAGGTGCAATGCAGAAATGCTCATAAAATTAAGCAAATGGATTAAATGTTTGTTTTTTTCTCTGAGAAATACCTGGCACTCAAAAATTTCTTGGCAGGACCCTATATAGTAAACTTGTCTTTATACACAGTAATTACCTTTGAGCAGGGTCGTAGGTATAGATTTCTGTATTAAACACGGTCGTTATTTATTACAGATATATCTTCCAACAAGTACAAGGAACTTTAATCGGAGAAAAGTTGCAGGTTTAAATTTATTCAAACTAGTAAGAAGGAATTCAATAAAAAATTGCACTTGTAAATATACTGACAATATTATTTTACCTAACTATCAAGGTTTTCTTGACACATTCGAACAAAATTATCCACCAAAACTCACCCTGGAAAAAAAAAACTTTCACTAAAACAAAGCAAACTACCTGGATTTAAATATCAACATTATTAATAAAATGATAAATTTCAAAGTTTTCAATAAAATAGAAACACTGAACTTCGTAATTATCAACTATTCATTTCCAAAAAAGTTTTTTTTTCAATATTTACTACTCATTGCTTATTATATACAATGTAATTTGTTCTATGTTATAAGACATTATAGACAGAGTTTGTAAACTAACTTGCATGTTTCACTAAGAAGGTTTCACCTGTTACATATTAAACACAAAATCTGTTCAATCCTGTGGGAAATTCAACAATATTCTTGCTACTGATCATGGGTCTAGAAGTTTTAGAGAGTATCATGACCTTTTCAAATCTTTCACATCTAAACTTTAATTTCTTAGGAAATTATTTAAGGTAATAATAAACCATGTAAGAGTATCGACTCCCATTAGTTTTACCTCCCATTTCTTTAAAATTTTGTTATATATATATATATATATATTATTTATTACTTCTTGTTG